AAAAATTACTTTTTTTACAAATAAAATATATCTCGAAAATAATGTTTCATATTTATTCAATAAATATTTTACTCTAAGAATATTTAATTTGCATGCAACTTAATAAGAAAAGGTAAAAAAAATTAAATGTTTTATTTAGATTATAACAATGAAAAATGAAAATCACTAATAATAATTTGAAATATGTTTTTATTTTAATTTTACTTAAGTCATCAAAATGATGTGTCATCCACATCACCTCATTAAAGCCATACAAGCAAAAAAGTCAAAGGGTTAACCGGTTTAAAAGGTAACAGGTTACCCATTGCTATTATGAGTAGATTTTTTAAAGTACAATGCCTTAATAAAAAATAATTTGAAAGTATATTGCTGTAATAAAGAAAAAAAAAAGAATATTATAATAAGAAAATTTATGAAAGTAGGTTGCTATTTTATGTATTTAATCCTTTAAAATATGTGGAAATGCTCTTATTTATATATGTTTTTTAGGCCCAATAAATAGCAATATATATAGCCCATGGGCTTATGATGCGGTGATACAAACGCATCAATTCATCGTCAACGATGAATTGATCAGCTCTTGACTTCATTGGACTTCTGACCAGAAACCTTGAGACACAACACAACGATGAAGCAAAGCAAAGGGGGAAGAAGGATCTAGAAATTGAAGTAAGAATTCAAACTCAAAGGGAGTAGAAAATGGATGGAGTAGCTGAAGGACTGTGGGAATTGGCTGATTTGCACGAGAAGAATGGCGAAATTGCGAAATCAGTCAAGTGTCTTGAAGCCATTTGTCAAAGCACTGTATCGTTTCTTCCCGTTATCGAAGTCAAAACACGTCTTAGAATCGCTACTATGCTTCTCAAGCATTCTCATAACGTTAATCATGCGAAATCTCACCTTGAACGCTCCGTTAGTCAATCCTTCCCTTTCCTACGTTTAATGTGCATTGGTTTATGTTTAGATTGTCACTTTTGTGAAGTCATTTTAGTTGTGATTTGTGAAAATTTGGGAATTTTATGAAGCTATGGAGGTTTATTGAAGTGTGGTTTGAGGTAATCAAGTTGGAATGGGCAACTCCTTTGTTATGCACTTGGCTGCTTTTGCACACAGAAAACTTTCTATGGCGCCCATTTGATCCCCTTATGTCCACTTAAATTGATAACAGTTGGTGACTGAACATTTTTATTGGATTTAGACAAGGGTTGAGTTAGGAAAAGGGTATGGTGAGGTATTTGTTAGATCAATAGGTGATGCTATGTGATAATTTATGGTCCACTTGGTCGTTTTGTAGCATGTTGAGGTGTATTTTGGGCAGCAAAGATACGAGTGTTCTTAAGCTATATAAATTATGGTCAACTAAATAGAGTTGTACTTGTTTTTTCACAGCAACTACTCTTGAAGTCGATCCCCTCATGTTTTGAGTTGAAGTGCAGAGCTTATAGCTTACTGAGCCAATGTTACCATGTTGTCGGAGCTGTTTCTTCTCAAAAACAGCTATTGAACAAGGGATTAGAACTTACTGCTACGTTTGGGGAGGGGTATGCAAGTTTCCTTTTGTAGACTTTACGTTTACCTTGCAGTTTCTTGTTCATGTTCTTCTGCGTGTCAATTTCTGGGTATACCTTTTACCGTCAATGCATGGTTAATGGTGTTGGCCGACAAATCCCGTTGGACTTATATTGTTCCATAGGGTGTTTGGAGTCAGGATCTGTTTGTCAAGGACCAAATGGCAACCCTATTAGGAGGAATCGGAACGGAGGCGCCTTACATAGACTTTAATATGCCTGTCTTTGTTAGCTCAAACTAAAAGTTACTCAATATTCTCCCATTCTGGAACGTTAAGGGCCAGTTAAATTATAATTTACAGATAAAAAGGCTGAATTGGCATCCTTTCATGTCATTTCTACAACTGGGATCTGCACTTATTGCTATTGTTGTTTATTGGAAGGTTTTCTGGGAAGTTATGGTCATGCAACTTCAATTCACAGCTTGCAAATGCTCTCATCATAGAAGGAGATTATCAGGGTTCAATATCTGCTCTGGAGCATGGTTATGTTTGTGCAAGTGAGATGTATTATCCAGAGTTACAGGTTGTGTGTATTAATAAGTGCATATTTCAAATTGTGAATATGAATTCAGGATATTTGGCATTATGCTTGTGTCTTTTATAGCTTGAGATTGCATTGTAACCCTACCATATTAGTTGCATCCATTATGAAGTTCCAAAATGCAGAGGTGGTTGCCTCTTTGTTCTTTTAACCTATTGATATTGTGATATATGGCATGGCTGTATTTCTTGTGTTGTTTATGCAATCCAATCCTGTTTGTTGTGCTTGTGGACAGATGTTTTTTGCAACTTCAGTTCTGCATGTACACCTCATGCAGTGGGAAGACGGAAGCTTAGTTGAAGGTGCTGTAAATAGATGCAATGGTGTTTGGGAATCCATTGATCATGACAAAGTAAGTCTATTTTTCTCTTACTGCAAGATGTCCACTGACGAGTATAAACTTGACATGAAGTTCCAAATTAGTTGAAACTAATTGCTTCTAATTCGTTATTTGTTGTTATTTAATTCAAATATATATGGTTTTTAGTTAATTGAGGATGTACATTTACTTTCTGTTTATGTTTGTCTGAACTCTGAAGAGTGCTATGAAGTGCCAAATTGTAACAATACTGCCATGAAATCACCATTTTCTTAGCATGTAAAGTATGCCAGTATCACACTTTCATGGAAGGCCAAGCAGTTTGTATTTGATCGGCTATATGCTACAGAACTTTTCCATAATAGACTTTCAAGTGCTTAACTGTTGGTCCGTTGTAGATTATTTTGTATTTGGTACTATGCTAGTATGCTGGGTTGTATTGCTAGTTAACTCTATACATACAATTGTATTGGGTATTGATATCTAAGTTCATATGTTCTTTCAAAGATCTTCCTTGCAATTGAAATTTATTCCACTATCATGACTCCTACTTTTGTGGAACTGTAGAGACAGCAATGCCTTGGTTTATTCTTTTACAATGAGTTGCTCCACATATTTTATCTACTCCGTATATGTGACTACAAGAATGCTGGTCAACATGTCGATAAATTAGATGCTGCCATGAAGACTGACTCACAGAAGATGCAGCATGTGCGAGAGCTCTCAAAAGAACTCAATATAGTAAATGAAGGTCTTTCACAACCTGATCTACCCCATAGAGATAGGGCTACACTCAGTTCAAGAAGAATTATACTTGAAGAAGAAATCAATAATTTTATTGGACCAAGTTCGATTGGTGGCCAAGAAGCTTTGGAACCTGCGTACTTTGGTAATGTGAAACGAGAATTTGGCGAGAAGCTTGAGTTGGCACCTCCTCCTATTGATGGGGAGTGGCTACCAAAAAGTGCTGTATATTCGCTAGTTGATCTTATGGTTGTTGTTTTTGGTCGCCCAAAGGGACTCTTTAAGGAGTGTGGAAAGAGAATTCAATCTGGACTAAATACTATCCAAGGTAGATCTTTCTTGCTCATTTCATCACTGTGAATTCTCGAATGTTTGTTAAGCCTAAAACTGATGAAATTGCTTTGGAACCGATCTTGATATCTTGTTACCTAAAGAATATGGTTTTTATGCTTCTATGTTGTAAGCAATGCTAGTGAAACTCTTACCACTAATCCCTCATAAATATGGGATAGTTGTCGCCTGTTCCTAAGATTGATATATTCATGCTATGTCTCTTATCTGTTTAATTTTATGCTTTATATGTAACATCCATTGAGAAAAAGGGGTGTCTATAATCTTCTCGTATTTCTTTTATAAGGAACCACAATTTGGAATATATGAAGTATCAAATACATAAAAGAGTTTTCTTTCTTTATCTTTGGCATTGGCATGAGAAACTTCTTGGTTGACCTTCTTTGTCCTATCTTATAGACTATTTTGCAAATTATCTTTCTCTGGCATCACCAGCTTCGGAAACTGAGTAAGTTACGTGTTACATGCAGCGGAGCTGGTGAAATATGGAATAGCTGATGGTGCAACAGGTAAGCCTTCTGCTCATAAGTCTTAATGTAAACTGTAAAGTGATCCGTACGAGGAGACACTTATTTATACCATTCCTTTTTGCAGTGATTTGAATTCAAATCAATAGTCATTAAAACTAACATATCCTTTTAATTTAAAGCAGAAGTGGATTTGCAGCACTCTGCCATTTGGATGGCTGGAGTATACTTGATGATCTTGATGCAGTTTCTTGAGAATAAAGTAGCCATGGAACTCACTCGTTCAGAATTTGTTGAAGCGCAAGAGGTTTGTTGTCTTCCTCCAACGTTGCAGGGTTTACTTTATATTGATTAGCTTATGGTGCCTAGGCAATGTCATTTTGCTTACTAAACAGTTTAGGGTTGTATCCAATGATGTTCCCTCTCTTCATTGTGTATGTTTTGTGATACATGTTTATTGGGTATATATGTGTCTGTACAGAGTGAAAGATTTGGAACTGGAGTATGATGGTGAATTGCTAAAATATCAAGACAAGTGAGCTCTAATACCAATACCTTTCATGCTCCCAGAACTACCTTAAAAGTAATTCTCATTAGAATAGGGTTGAGTCTTCATTCCCGTATCAAGTTCATTAAGATTGGAGGTGTAGACAAGACGAGTCGGCTTGTAAAAGGGACATGTCCAAGTGTTTGGCTAGTTCGAGCCAAGCCGACTCGTTGCCTATTTGAGAGTATGCCTGAGATTGACAGCTCAACAAGCTTAAATGAACCTAGCCCACAGAGTCTATGTGAGCCACAATGTAATTTATATCAATTTAGCCCGCTAGCTTTGGTCTCTTGGCAACTTTTCTTTAAGTTTCTTTATAATATAATTTGAAGGGTTTTAATTTTATATGAACTCATATCAACCAAGCGAATACTTAAGCTTATGGAGCCTATAGAAGCCAAGCCAATATGAGCTGATCTAAGGTTTGAGCTTATATGAGCCCATATGCACCAATAGGAACCGACCCTATGCGACTGGAACCAAGGGTCTAGCCTCTGGTGAGCAGAAACCGAGCTAGGATTCAGGCTTGGCAAGCCACTAGCTGAGCATGAGCGTACATACTTTTAGCAAGCAGAGTCTTAAGCCAAGCAAACTCGAGATCAGCTTGGTTCAAATGCACCCATGGCTGAGTTTTCCTTTTTTTGTAATATGTTAATGACTTTTACTGGTTCATGAAGTAGAGTGAAAGCAGCCATTTTTTGTAAATACTTTGGTCTGGTATGGTTTCATTCTATAACAAAAATGTTTATCTGGATATCTCAAAGTAGACATGATATGCATCTTCTGAAATATGACGTTTCAAATTGTGCCTCAGCTATGCAAATCTTTGAGGCCATGTTGGACTTTGTTTCCACTCTGTAACTATGAGCAGGTTCTAAAATCTAGAGTTCTACCTGATGCGAAGATCAGAATCTGCACGACACGCCATGAAACTGAAACAACAATATTTTCATGTTTGCAGGCATTATTAGAGATGAGGGATTGGTTCAACCGTTTTCCCACAATTTTGCAAGCTTGTGAAAGCCTTATTGAGATGCTCAGAGGGCAATATGCTCATTGTGTCGCCTGCTATAGTGAAGCTGCTTTTCATTTTGTTGAGGCAGCAAAGGTATGTCGGAATGGTACTTTTTTCTTGGAAACCAAAGAGGATTACAACTTCAAGCAGAATTTGGTGGTAGAATTGTGAAATTAAACTTTGGAATGTGATCTTGTGTCACACAAAATTACGTTTGTATCAAGGCCCTCCCTAAATCTAAGCCTAGATCTAATTATACATAGAAATTTGTGTGAAGAGTCTGGACTTGTTTGCTTGCTTGCTGCTTTTGAGTGTGAGCTTGTGCCTAGGTTTATCCGCTTTTCCTTATGGCCAGCATCTCTTGTTTATACCTGCCTAGTATAGCTTTCCCTGGCCACTACAGGTGGACCGATTGTTAGTTGGTCTCTTCAATTGGTGTCATCTGTTCCTGTGAAATTAATTGCTCCACGTCAAAGTAATCACCTAGTTTACATGGTTGAAGTAGTAATGGTCTGAATCATCTGGGAAAGCATCTGTTTTTAACTTCCCTCAGTCAAGCATTCTTAGCTAACTGAAATGTCACAAAGCTCATCAAGTGCTCACCAATAATTTTCAACGGACATGGAATGGTTTGATGATCTGGGCCTTGAAGTCGAACATACTGAGATTGAGAGCTTTACACTAGTTTATCTGACATGCTGAAGATTTCCAAAAGATCATCCTGATCTTCTTTTCTGATTTGTTAGCTCATCAAAATTATTCATCGTGAAAAAAATCAACTTTTTCAGTTACAATTTCCCAAAATTGAGCCTGTCCTCCCACATTTAACTTCTGCTAGTCAGTTATGGATTGGAATGGACATAACAATTTGTAAGGTTATGCAAACGAACATAAGAGAAGCAACAAAAGGTACAACAGTCTGTATATGTATACACTGGAACCTGACCTATCAATGTTTAAGCATATGTTGCTTTTCTTGGAAAATCTGGAACCAATGTCGAAAAGTATATTATAAAGTTTATAAAGGCGGCCAATACCATAGGGATAAGAAGGGACACTAGCAATAAATGAAGATGTTTGCACAAGCTAATAATTGCATGACAGAATAATATCAACCATCTTTTTATATCTGCCTTCTTTTTGCAAAATTGTGGCGTTTAGCTAAGCTTCCCAAATCTTTTTGGCAAGCTGGGTGTCTTTTTCGGAAACAAACCTCTCCACCTTTTGAGGTAGAGTCGTAGAGGAAGGTCTGTACATCTTAGTAGCTTACCCCCCAGACCCTCTACTTCCGGGTGTGATTTATTTGGTTTTAATTTTTTAATAATGTCAACCATCTTAGAGATAAAGTTATATGTTCAATTCAAAATACCCTTGTACCTGTTAATGATGTCTGCTTCAAACAATTATAGACTTATGGAGATGTAGATGCATTTTTGACCTGCCATTTCTCTGTTTAGCTGTGAGTAAGATCATATCATGTCATTAATTCAGAGGGGTACTTTACTGGATGATTGAATATATTTTTGAACTTTGTTTCATCATCTTACTCTGAAAGTGAATTAGACTTTGTTAAATTAATCGAAATATGACTAATATCAAAACCAGGAATTGGAAGCTGAACCAAAAATATAAAGCAACATGGTTGTTTAAAACATCTACACCAGAAGCAAGTGGAAGTCAATTCTGGTTGTTTATTTGGACTATATATTATCTGTTGAATTTAGTCTCCCGGTTCGAGCAGATTATTCCCCAGCTTCAGTTAAGTGTTATGTGATTGTATATACCTGCAGCTAACTGAGAGCAAATCAGCACAAGCCATCTGTGAGGTTTATGCAGCTGTGTCTTACATATGCATCGGTGATCCAGATTCCTATGCAAAGGTGAACTTGATCTTCTCTCATTGCTCTCTTTTCTTCATGCTTTATATGTGAAACTTCTTGTAAATGCAGGCTTTAGAGTTAATTGGACCAGTTTACAGAACGATTGATTCTTTTGTTGGAGTAAGAGAGAAAACAACTGCTCTTTTTGCATATGGTTTTCTATTGATGAGGCAGGAGAATCTACAAGAAGCACGGTATGTATCCTTGTTTATTTAACACTTATGTGTTTAAGTCTCTTGGTGTTCTGAATCTTGGATTTCATGTTGGATATTGTTCCTGACCAGAGTTTTACACTGAATGATGGTTAAGGTAGGAATAATAGTTTTCCTATCTTACTATAAATGGTGCAAGCATTCTTTGTATGTACTAAAGAACTAACAAAATATAATAAGAATCCCAGTGCCAATGGTGGATATAGGCAAATTGTTGAGCCACGTGAATAAGGAGTTCGATTTTTTTTGCCACAGTTATTTTTGTCCATGTGATTATTGATCCTAATATCTAATTGTAGCTTCTTAGAGATCTTATGAGAAATCGGTATCATTATGTTTAAGATAACCTAAAACATATACACATTTTCTGCCCCCTGTCGTTCTAGCCTTTTTAGTTCCTCTTTAGAGTTTTCTTCCATAGGCATATTGCACATGAGGCTCTACTAGCTATTTCTCGTATCCCGTTTCTCATGATGGTTATAATGTGTGTTTCATATAACACGATACTTCTTTATACAATGTTATGTTCATCTTTAAAATAATTCATCTTCCATAGAATCCATTTATCGTATATCTTTGCCCATCACTGTCAGATTGTAAGCTCCACCTTTTTCTATGTTGAAAAAGCTTTCTTGGTTGCTAACAACATGGCCAATTTCACAAAAGGAATCTGGAACGGATGAGGGATGAAATTGGTCATTTGCTTCCCGAGTCTGTCCTAAAATAAGTGTCTAAATTTCTATTTTGGTTTGTTCCAAATAAGTGTCCACTTTCTAAAGTAAGTGCCTACTTTCCAATTCTACCCTTAATTATGAGATGGAGAAATTCATTACTCCAACTATTATCGAGGGTAAAATTGTCATTTAGTTAATTAAAGTGTAATAATCATATTTCTAAAATTGTGCGCCTTTTTTGTTGTATACATTTATTTTGGGAAGGAGGGAGTATATTTTTATGATCCATGGCATCAGGCTTGTCATGTTTGTGCTATGATATTTTGCAATTATACATATTTTGCAGTCTTTCACCATGAACAGCTCTGATGCAGGGTTCGATTGGCAAGTGGCTTGCAGACAACACACACGACTCTGGGGAATCTTCAACTCGTGTCACAGTATCTGACAGTACTTGGCAATCTAGCACTAGCTCTTCATGATACCGTCCAAGCCAGAGAGATCTTGAGGTCCTCCCTTACTTTGGCAAAGAAGCTTTATGATATTCCAACTCAGATTTGGGTCCTATCAAACCTTACGGGTATGTCTGGCATTTCAGTACCCTCTACTGCTCCGTTGCTACATCATGTGCCTGTTTGATACTTCCTCCATCCCAAAATCAAAAACCCAAAATGGAAAAAGTCACACATTTTTAAAAATATATAATTATTACACTTTCTAAATAAATTGTACCCTTAATAAGAGAGGGAGTAATGAATTTCTCCATCTCATAATTAAGGGTAGAATTGGAAAGCAAACACTTACTTTTGAAAGTGGACACTTATTATGGGACAAACTGAAATGGAAATGTGGACACTTATTTTGGAATGGAGAGAGTAACTTCTAGCAAAAGTGCAAATGACAAATAAAGCCTACAATTTTGGGATAAGAAGTTGAAATTTTCCATTGCAGTATAGCAAATAAGGTTTTCTAGTGGGACCTTTTCTGATAAGAATTTATGGATAAAAAAACCCCTCTGATTCAAGTCTCATCATCTTACATCCGTGTATCGTTTGTAATGAAAATGGAATAGTCTCTTGTTCATATTTAAAAACTGTTGTTAAAAGAAATAGCAACATGACTTTTGTTCCTTCATTACTCCATTTGTCCCAAAAATGTTGCAACAAGTTCCATTTTTGGATGATATTAACTGCTAGTTTGTGACTTTTTGACCTAATATACCTATTCGCCAGTGGCCCGGTAGTAATGATTTCAAACTAGTGATGGTATGTATTCTGGTCCATAGGAGTCCCCTTATTTTGTTATTTCTTTAAACAACCCCACAGAAGACCTGACACTCATATTGTATGCATAATTCTTTTTGCAATTCATGTCAAATATTGTTGTTAAAGCAATCGGCTTGTATTGATGATGCGAACTAGGCGCATTCGTCTGGATGAAGATTTAGCCCACAAAAGACCCAACACTCTCATATTGTATGCATAATTTTGTCTGCAATTCATGTCTAATATCATTGTTAAAGCAACCGGCTTGTTTTGATAATGCGAACTAGGCACATTCGTCTGGATGAAGGTTTAGAACTTGAGCTCACTTTTATACTTTTAGGGTGCATTTGGTATGTGGGACAGGACAAGACATAACAAAACAAAACAAAAACCTTTTAATTTCACATCCATGGCGCGACTTTAGATTGGAACTCGAAGGGACTGAGTGGGAAAAAATGCACTTCTTTGTAAGCACTTGTTTTTCCAACGAAAATAGGTGGAACAAAAAAATAAAAGATGAAAAAATTGGTAAATTACTAAACGATACATTTTCACAATTCTTTCACCTGCCTACCTCACTCTTGCCTGTCCAGTCCTGTCCACTTACCAAACAAACCCTTGTGTTGTGAACGAAAAATCATAGTCAATCAGGCAGGTTAGAGCATCTCCAATAGAATCTCCAAAATGGAGAAATTAGGGATTTTGGGCAATTTTTTGCTCCAACAGATTCTCAAAAATGGAGAAAATAGGAGAGAGAGAGTGTAGCTTTCTCCAAATTTGGATCTCTCTCCAAAAATGATTACCATGGAAGAGAAATGGTTTTTTATTATATTTCACTGATAGTTAACCTTGAAAAGAAATGTTTATGAGAGAGAAATAATATAGTTAATGATGTAATCTCCAAAATAGAGAATCTGTTGAGAGAATCTGTTGGATGAAACAAAGATCTTCAAAATGGTAACGTATATCTGGCCAGCTAAATCGAACCACATTTTTGATGCAGCATTGTATGAGCAAGTAGGTGAAAAGGGGAGTGAAATGGAGAATCGTGAATACGAGAAGAAAAAGGTGGACGATCTGCAAAAACGACTTGCTAATGCGTATGCATCAACTCATCATCTTGAGCTCGTAAGTTTATTCGATCCATTAAGTTCCTTTTTCCGTTTTCTATTCTTTTGCTCCCTCCGTTCCACGAAAAACCACAACATCTTATTGCCCATATAGTTTAACTAGTTGTGTACCCGTGTGATACAACATCTTATGCGGTTTTTATTGAATGGAGGGAATAGTAGCTTTCAACTGATACATTTCATGAGCAGATTGAGAAATCAAAATTCCAAGTCCGAAGACTAAATGAAGTTGATATCAAGCGAGCGATTGCTGGTCCATCCACGAGAGTTGATCTCGACATTCCTGAGTCCATCGGCTTGTCATCCTCAACACCCCAACCTTCATCACGGCTCATGGACGTCGATATCGGCAGACGCGTGACGAGAAAAGGGTAGTTTCCTTCCTTCTCATATATATATATATATATATATATATATTGTGTCAATTATGTTGTAGAAGCATATGATAACCAAAAGCACACCTAATGTTCACACAACATGCTAGTTCTTATAGATTCCATTCAGTTATTAGGGTCCTAGAGCACATATTAATTGTATATGATTGTAGGAATCAGATCTAATTCAGGTAGATGAACGGTTTGCATACATTTTATCTTCCCCAGTCTGTACTATCGTGGGATTTACTGGGTTCGTTTGGTTTTTTTTATAGACATAATCATACTGTTGTGATAGATGTAAAAGTTCATCAAGATTGAATCATTTGAAGACTTTATGCACACATATATTGCATCAAATTTGAGATTTCAGTCTTGAATGAGCGAATAGGTCCGTTGCTAACAGGTCCGTTGCTAACAGGTCCGTTGCTGACATTTTATAGGTCCTTGGTGAGATGTAAAAATTGGGCCCTCGATATCCTTTTTACATCATGGATAACATTGAATTCAAGGCATATAAAATCGTTCTTTTCAAATATTCCTATACGATAAAAACAATCAATAATTATTTCTAAGGGGCTGTTTGGCAATTGCTGAATGGTTTGGTGCAGAATGATTGAGAGGTTATATAGTGCAACATGAAATATAATTGTTTGGTAATTGTGTATAATGAAATTATGGCTCTTAATGGTTAAGGGAGATTCATGATACAAAATCATTAAGAGGGTTTTGGAACCATTAAGAGACATACTTTTTTCTTGCCAAACAAGATTCACCTCTTACCGATTAATAGGTAAACAAACAACCCCTAAATTAATATTATCTACCATACATAACATCGTCGACCCATTTCACTATAAAAAAACCTTCTATAATATACTTTTCATATATAGATTGACATCATTTGGGGGTCACAATGTTGACTATTCGGGGTAACACTCTATTTAAATTGATATAAATCCGTTGAGTTTCCATCTCAACTCAGATTAATGTTTTTCATTACTGTTTTAAACTTTTAAGGTTAAAACAAACTGTTTTAGAATCATCAAAATCTTAAAATTAAACGTCTTTTTGGTTATAACTCGATATCTTATTCTTATTTTAGAGATAGAAAATCACTTAAAATTAATGCACTCAATATTAGGTAATAAGTAGTCAATAATGTATGGAAAAAACAAAGGTAATTTTGAAATCTTAAATATAAATACAAGTTGAACCGTCTCATATGGTTGATAATTTTTTTTTCTTCCAAAAGTAGAAGTTTTCTTAGCTAATAACAAGAAATTTATTATATTCTAATACAAAAATAGAATTTATGTGGATGGAATAATAAAAAAGACGAGATAAATGATGGTAAATATCAAGGTTTTTTAGAAAAGTAGTTTTGGACTTTGATACTACAAAAATTAATTTACAGAAACAATAAGCAACATTAGAAAATGAACAACCAATTAAATTTTTACATATTTTTTTTCAATGCAATTAATTACTACATGTTTAGACCCTTGATATAATATAAAATTCATTTTGGGTCTTATTATATACTAAAAAGATTGTGTATTTTTATTTACTATTACTATATACTAAAACAATTTGGGTCCTGGGCGTACGTCTGGCCCGCCCTCCCACAGGAACGGCCCTGTGAGCGAAAAAAATGTCCGGTGGGGTTGAAAAAGGACCCAATCAGACTTAATCGAGCTTTTTCATGCTCTTTGGCTTGGCCTAGATTGGGTTACAGGCTCATTAAGCTTGGACTTTTTAAGTCCAAGCTCGGGGGCGAATTTGTCAATAAAGAGGGTAAATTTTGAAAATTACCATCATTTATGTTTTTCTTGAAGGTTTATCTTAAAAATGTTCATTTTTTACTGGAAAAATGATATGTTTGTGTAAATCTTACTGTCAAATCCCACATTTAAGTGAGATATAATGAATTTGTTCGTTTTGATTTGGTTGAAGGGACAGATCAGACGAATGTTAGGCAAGGAAATGAGAATTTTCGAAGAGAATGAAAAAAAAAATACGTATCAAGCAGAAAAGATGGAATAATATTGACTAAAAATACAAAATTATTATTTTATTCTTCTAACATAGCAAAAATCTAAAATTACTATGTGTGTGTATATATATATATATATATATATATATAAATTATAGTCTATTATTTTTATTACCATACGTTCAGTTGAGAAGTGATAAGTATTTGAGAAATAGAGAAGTAATCCTAGTCATTCATCTGATCAAGATTTGCAGTTTTGACTGTGAAACACCAGATAATCCATCACATGTATGTTGAAGATAGATGAGTAGTTTCGTAACTTTTATAAATAGGCAGTAAAACAAGTGCATATATGAACTTATGGGATTCACATATGAACCATATGTTCATATGTGAATTCGTGTGATTCACATATGACTATTTAACCGATTCACATATGAACTAATTAACTGATTCATACATGAATTATGGATTCACATATGCATTTGTTTACCCCCTATTTGTAAAAATTACGGAATTACTTTTATATTTTTCGCTTGATCAGTCAAAGCCACAAATCTTATCACTTCTTTATTTCTCAAATACTTACCACTTCTCAAATGAACCCCTCCCTCTTTTATTATATATAAATATCGACTATATATAATATATTATTATATGTAGTATTTGTAAATGATTTATAATATGCAATTATACATAGATATTTATATAATTTTGAATATATATATATATATATATATATATTACAATCTTGAAAACTAGTGCATCATGTGCTATTTAATATGATTTTTTTTCTATCAAATACTACAATTTAGAATATTAATTAACATATATTTGTTTCAAAATATGAACCTTTTTAGTCAGTTTGTGAAATTATAAATCAAAATACTTATGAAATAAACACATAGTAGAACAAATATATGTTCATCAATATATTAAATTCTAGTTTTATATGAGAAAATCATGTGAAATGATGTATCTTAAGGTAAAAGTTCCCACCATTATCACAATATATGAGGTTCTTAAATAATAAAATTCCTATAAATTATAACTTTTTTATTTGTATAATTCATAAATTATCATATATTAGTTGTGTACTTGTACAATACGACGGAAGCCATAAATTTTAACAATTTTAAAGTTTCACTGGTTTTATTAAAGAAGATTTAACGAAAAGCGCAAATCACCCATATGGCTCAAGGGACCCACGACTGTATCCGTAAAAGGTATATGAATAACACCAAAAAGAAACCAAGAGGCCACTTACATGTAACCCGAACAATCCCACCCCAAAATCATGAGGGTCGGGTCCTCTCTAACCAACCCCGAAACCGATCAGGTTTTACCCCGCTCAGCCCAAACCCATCCGATACTCCCTCTAATTATAACTAGTAAATATTTTTGAGTACAATACTATAATAAAAAATAATTTAAAAAAAAATAATCTAATAAAAAAATAAAAAATAAAATACAATACCCAAATTTGGGATTGCTTGTTTCAAACAACTCTTTTCTATAAAGGTACATGTTAACTTATTATAATTTATAATAATTTAACATTTTTAAAAACTCTTTATTACCGATTTAACATTAATATAAATTATTTATAACACACTTAAAAATACTTATTATCGATGTCAAAGTCAATAAGTCATTTTCACACGCTATCCCAAAAAAAAAGTAAATGACCCAAAAAGGACCTACCCACACCCCGGCGAATCCAACAACAAAACCGACGAAGGTGGCCGAAGATCGGCCTTCCTCGACGCTTTCCGACAAAGAACAATTTCATCTCCACCATTTTTGTAGCACCGGATCCTGTCTACTTTTTCTTACATCCAATTAGGGTTCCAGCAAAAATAATTCAATTCCAACAACAGCATTTCGCATCTTGGTCAACGACTTGTTCCTTCAATGCCACATTCTCTGAATTAAGCGAAAATGCTATCAAAAATTGGTTCAAGGTGCAGTAGGGCTCGGTATCTTCTTCTTCGAACAGCTTCAGGCAAGAAGATGATGACGATCTCGAGCTATAGTAGGACTGGTGGTAGTATTTCTAGCTCATTTCTCCTATCGGATGCTTCACACAGTTCCGGTGGTAGTATTTTTACTAGACAGTTCAACGTTCGTCGGCGTGATCCGTGGGACGTTCCGAGGAAATCTACGCTGTTTCTCAAACAGTTAACTGCGTTTGTCTCAGATTTCTCTCCTACTCCCCTTCAAAATTCTGTAAGCATGTGGGTGTGCGCTTAGTTTATAATTATGTTCAATCCTTTAATTGACTCTATGCTAGTTGATTTTGTTGAAAATCTTATGAAGTGCAACTTTTTTTGTAGCTGGATCATGATTTGTCTAATTTATGAAAAGATTATATCGAGATCATCGCCCTCAATTTAGCATCCAATATGCCGTCCTGAACTTATTAAGCTTCTATAAATAGCTATAGGAAAATTGTTGTGAAGTGTGTGATTTTGACTATGTGATCTGTTAACCTTTTCTAATTATGCTTAACATGGAAGTTGCTTAGATCATTGCTAAGTTGTGAATCTGGTTGTTTCACTTGCATAATCCTAGAGCCTGTGGATTTATTAAGCAATAATCCATATAGAAAGATGTGAATACAATATGTAAGCATTTCTCCATGTTGTCATGTTGATATTGACGTATCATGTGTGACTAAACATGTTAAAATTTACTGATCAAGAAGCGGGGGCGTAGTATATTTTGGAACCATGGTGGTTTTACATGTGTACAACGTTGAGCTGTTTAGTCACTCTAGATTAATTTTGACTCATGATATGATTATGACCTAGTATGGTGGTTTTAAATTAGTACACTGTTGAGATTCTTAATCACTTTAGATTATTATTGATCCATGATTTTGTTGTTCTTGGCACCCTGGAATTTTTTGCCATGATTTCCTGTGGTCAATTAGTTTCTTAACAATTAGCATGAAAGAAAAAAGTGAGTGTCTCCATATATAACCATGTGCTAAAATCAAGACATTTATCACATATTTGTATCATTGTAACTTTCAGGGTTCTATGCCTAATGGGTATGCTTCATTGGCAACATCCAATAGTGATGATTCGAAGGGTACGAATCAGGATAAAAAGGGTGAAGGAAAAGATCTTATTATGAAAGGAGAGCAAATTAATAATGCTAAAATTCTTAGTACACTTGCAAAGTACTTGTGGATGAAAGATAACATGGAGTTCAGACTGAGAGTGCTCACTGCTATGGGATTTTTGGTTGGAGCCAAAGTGAGTAAGGGGATATTACTGTAAAACTTCTTAACATGTTTTGTTTTATGTTTATAGGACCCATGTTGGTTACATATTTGCTCAAGAGGTTTTTTTTTTCTTCTCTATCAGGTACTGAATGTTCAAGTTCCCTTTTTATTCAAGCTAGCTGTTGATTGGTTAACAACAGCAACAGGAAATCCTAGTTCACTTTCTGAGTTTGCAGCTGCTAATTCGACAGCTTTAGCTGTTTTTGTAAGTCCAGCAGCTGTGTTGATTGGTTATGGAATAGCACGAACAGGGGCTTCTGCTTTCAACGGTACTTCATTATGAAGTAATTGCTGGTTCTTGTCGTGACTCGTGACACTATATATTTGACTTCAAATCTGAAAATAAAGCTGGATATCGTCTGAAATATTCATTTTTGCTTATGTGGGGCGATGAACCTTGCATGCCCCACCCCCTCTTGAATCTCGACTTAACCCTGCACATATGTCTTGCTACAGAGTTGAGAACTGCAGTGTTTTCTAAGGTTGCGTTGCGAACTATTAGGTCAGTTTCGAGAAAGGTATGATTCAACTCAAATCATAGCTTTTTCTTCCAGCACTATTACAATTTTGGGCTCACGTAGCATAAGAACAGGATTTATGTACTCTTTCATGCCCACCTGGGTCTGCCACACCCAGAAGAATACGTTTTCTTGTTTGTGCACTTATTCATGGCCGGTAAAGTAGGGGGAAATTTTGGTGGGAGCATTAATGCACTAGTCTCTTGGTTGGGAAGGCTTCTGGAACCACCCTATCCCTTTTTAGTTCTTTTTCATCCAGAGACGGGAGCATTGGACTGTATCTATTTAGAATACCAGAAGGCTAACTGCATAACCTGCGTCATATGTCCTTCCGTTTACTGGATACAATATTCCAATTCCGAGGTATGAAGCATCTGATATACTTTTTGTGTTGCAGGTGTTTGCACATTTGCATCAGCTTGATCTGCAATATCATCTTAGGTATATCTGTATAACTTTCTGTTTGAGTTGATGCTTAAATTGGGCTTGAATTTTCTTTTATGTGAAATAGCGTACTTTAAACTTTATGGATCCATGGTGAAATGCATAAAGGCGTGGATTGCAAAGTAGGTATCCTAGATGCATGTGTGACGAATGGACACAGTTAATTCTGTATGATCCTCTGGAGTAGTGGTTACTATAACTTATCAATGGTTAATGGAGAATTCAGCCTCCCTGATACACGGTTGTATATCCTGTTTAAGCTTGCTTTGCCATCAGCTTTTAGAGAATTCAGCCTCTATAATAGACACGTATGGTTGCTGTCCTTTTGAATTGCACAGCCGAGCTATATCACATAAGTAACTGTTGATCCAGATATGGATGTTTTGGTTCCACAGCTATACATTTAGTGTAAGTGTAGATGTCAAATTGTTATGAACATGTTGGTATTGCTGATTAGAGTGTTAGGGAAAACAAAGTCTTGCATCCATTTTATGCATATCCTGCTAGTGCTTTGGGTTTTACTTGAAATCCTAATTTTCGGATTACAAACTAGGTCCCAGGGTTCTCTTCATATCTTCTGGTTTATTTTCTGTTTGCAGCCGAGAAACAGGTGCTCTAAATCGAATTATTGATCGTGGTAGCCGAGCTATTAACTTTATCCTCTCAGCCATGGTATTTAATGTTGTACCAACTATATTAGAGGTGAGATTTGTTCTCTTACTATTAGTTTTCTGATCTTAGGGATGCTTTCTTGATCTGCCATAATTTCTTTACTACGACATTTTCCGTCTCTACTTGATCTTTTATGCTTCATGTTTTAAATTTAATAGCAATTGCACTTGTTTTTATTCCTGCCTGCATCTTCTTTTTAGCACATGAATATCATTTGCATATTTCAATTCAGCGACTCATCATGTGTCCTTTTAGATTTCTTTGGTAGCAGGTATTCTTGCATACAATTTTGGAGCACCATTTGCATGGATTACTTCTTTGTCGGTTGCTGCATACGTTGCCTTCACGTTGGCTGTGACACAAGTACTTTTTTTCCTTTAGTTTATCTTGGTTTCTTCTCCCTTGATCGGAGCTGTCCTTTTTATTCAGCTGCCTACCTTTTTGACTAATTGCTTGCGGCTTTTGAGTTGTTTAGGAGTGCTTTGTTAGAAAAGGGGGAAAATAGGCAGAGACAAAAAGTAGGAGTGAAGTAAATTAAGAAATATAGACAATCTGCTTATACTTCTTTGCTATATGCACATATTGTATCCCTCCTTCCAACCCCCACCAGAAAAAAAAATGATGATGAAAGGAGTGTGGGAGTTGCGTTTGTTATGTTTGTCTACTTAAATTAATGGAAACTAATTACCCTTTCGTCAGTTTAGTTTGTTTTCCTGCAGTGGAGATCTAAAGCCCATGGAGGGGCTGGGAGTTGGATCTCTTCCCTCTTTTTAATTTATATTTACCTCCAATTTTATCTCTTCCAGTGGAGGACTAAATTTAGGAAGGATATGAACAAGGCTGATAATGATGCAAGCACAAGAGCAATTGATTCACTTATTAACTATGAGGTGAGGAGTCGACAATTTTATGTATATGTTGCTTTCATAATGCGTAAGATCTCCTTTTTGCAGTTTTGTTTTTTTCTTCCTGCACTGAGTTTACAATTTTTTTGTTTAGACTGTGAAGTATTTCAACAATGAGCAATTTGAAGCTGAAGAGTATGATAAATATTTAAAACGTAAGTAGCTTGTCTTCACAACTCCATCATCTATCATTACCTGGATGTTTTCAAGTTGGACTATTTATAAGATTAGTCGCTAATCACATGCATGTCATGAATGCCTCTATTTCTTTTTCTTTTGTCTTGGCTAAAGTGATTAACTTTGTCTGTGTTTATGCTCAGGCTATGAAGATGCTGCCTTGAAGACACAGTGTAGTCTTGCTTTCTTGAATTTTGGCCAAACTCTGGTATTCAGTACGGCTCTCTCAGCAGCAATGGTACTAAGTTCAAATGATATTATAAATGGTGTGGCGACAGTTGGTGATTTGGTAAACCTTCTTTGTAAGCCTGCTGTAGCTTTCCATTCGTAAATATATATGATTTTGTGGTGGCTATGTGAGCTATTTATGATATGCACAGGTTATGGTAAACGGGCTCCTCTTCCAACTGTCTCTTCCACTCAACTTCCTTGGCAGTGTTTATCGTGAAACTGTGCAGAGTCTTGTTGACATGAAATCCATGTTTCAGCTACTTGAGGTAGTTTCCCATTTTTTCATCTTGCAGGTTGATGATATGTAGATCCAGTTAACTAAAAAAAGACTTTAGCTGATACTAGATGAAGCCACAAGATTCTATATACTATCTCTAATTTTTAAATTAGGAAGTCATATATGAAATATTTCAAAAAACTAGGATTCTTAGTTCATGGTTAGTTAGACGCCTTAACTTAATGCGAATAGATGTCATTATCGAATTTCAGATGTAATTACATAATGTTGCAAGTTCTTTTGGCTCTAGGATAGGCACTTGAATGTCTATCATCACCTCAAATCTTCCACTTTATTCATAAATATTTCAGTTGGTGTTTATGTGGGCCTAAAATCAATAGATGATGCATGGAATGATCAACAGTGCAATAAATGAATACTACAGTTTGAAACTGTTGATTATGTTATTTGTTTTTCTTGAGGTCCATTGTTTGTTTTATATCTATTCTTTGTCACGTTATTTTCCCACTCCCATTACCTTAAAATGACATATTTTTGGTTGCAAGGCTTCTATAAATTCTCATCTTGGTTAACTGGTTATATTTTTCTTTGTTTCTGAAGGAGAGGGCAGAAATCAGAGATGAAGATGATGCGAAACCTCTGAAGTTGGATGGGGGTAGCATTGAATTTGAAAATGTTCATTTCAGGTGAGTTTTCTCTTACGGGTGGGATTGCCATGGAATGTCAAGAGGCCAAGCACATATATACATAATTTTGAGCAGCGTAGACCATTACAAGATGTGTCAGTTTGTGGTCATAAGTAGTGATGCATTTATTTGGCAAGTTATAAAGAAAGGTAAACACACAGCAGCCAAATTCACTAACGTTTTGTCAACTGATTACCTAATATATAACATTAACTTAATTCACTGATAAAAAATTGTAATTTACTTGCTTTTCATTTATGAAGGTTATATTGTCCGTTGTACTTGATTCTGGTCTCTTGATTCATAGGGTTTAATAATTGTTAAAATTCCCAATTCTAGTTGTGCTTATGCATATCAACTTGCTTTATGTATAATACTCTCTCAGTCTTGAGAAAAGAGCCTGCTTTTGTTTTTGGAAGTTTAACCTAGTACTTCCCAAAATATACAATTGATGCAAATTATTTTTTGTTCAGCAATTCCAAGATGTTGTAATACTCTTTGATTGTTCAATATGGTTATTGATATTTTGCTTGAGCAAAAACACTTGTTTACAACTTTAGTACCGAGAACTAATTCATGTGACACTCAAAAATCAAATACTATATTACACACAGAATAGGAAATGAGGAATACCCTCAAATTTAAGGTGTTAATAAATAGCTTGAAATTTTTGCAAAATGGAAAAAATTATTAATAAAAACAAGGAAAGAGATGGCTGTCTGTGGATTTAAATACGAATTCTTGACGTAGTGCCTCCTTGTTCAACTACTAGTGAATGCCAGTGCTATGCGTCACTGAAACAGCTGAAATGCTATCTTTTCATATAATCTGTAAGGTTGATTTTTTACAAGAATGCATGAGACATGAATAGCATGTGGGGCATCCCTACTCCAAAAATTCTTTATAAACTGAAAGCATGACATGCCTTAAGATATGATGGCTTTGCTTATTGCTGATATGTACTCTGTTGTCACGATTTTAGTTATCTGACAGAAAGAAAGATTCTTGATGGGATATCCTTTGTTGTGCCAGCTGGGAAAAGTGTGGCTATTGTTGGAACTAGTGGCAGTGGTGAGGTTTCTTTTCTGCTCAAGTATACTTCTTATCTTTCAATTACTTGCAATATTTCAAAATGGGTAGGCGGTATAGCTCCCTCTTTATAAATATTTGCTGTTCTGTTCAAGTGGTTTATGTTCATTTTCTTCTGTTTATATAATATATACAATGACAATTACATAATTTTGTGCCTTTCCTTGGTTATTGATAATTAAAGCTGACGATGAAAATTGGATAAAGAAAATCATAATACTTAATGAAAAGCTCCCAATACTTGATGCTGCCTGGCCTGGCATTGTATCCCCATAGCTTGATCTGGACAATAGAATTAATAAGATGTAATGTACAGGTTTTGCCTATGTAATTCACATGGTTCCCTTTTAAGTTGTGCTTGTTTCTTGTCCTTAAATTGAATTTCATGTACAGGTAAATCAACGATCCTTAGGATGATATTCAGGTTCTTCGACGCCTATTCTGGCACGGTAATTGATTCTCTCTTAATTTCTGCTCCAAGTCGCACTACTTCTCATGCATTTCACAGCATTTCAACCTGAAAACCCCTGTTTATACATGAGTTTTTTTTGATATTTTTGCTACTTGGTTCTGCATATAGTAGCTTGGTACTGATGCCAACCAAAATCGTCAAGGCAAGTTATGCATAACTGAACGTGCTCCTTAATTGTGTCGCTGATAGTATATATGTAGTCAGAACCCTCCTAATAGTTGATCGAATATTAGTCACGCCTGAAACCCAAAATTGAAAATTCTATGAGATCCATGCTGATTTAGGTCATGATAAATTGTGACAGCTATTACTATATTGATCAGTACTTCCCATGAACCTTGTTTGGGTGCTTCATCTTGTGTTTGCAACATAAGTTGATGCACCTCATTATGTTTCACCAATTATACTATTAAAACGGTTAGATGGATATATGCCTTTTTTGGTTGAGGGCTTGAGGGTGCTGTCATTTTATATCGAGTGTTTAATCAGGTGTCCCTATATGGTTGTATGGGTTTTAATTTTCCTTTTTTTGTATAGAATTGAAACTTTGCTCCAAGAATCATGAAATCCTTCTGTGACATCCTCCTGACATGTTCTTCTAATGCATTTGAAGATCCATATTCATTTAGTATGTTGTTCTTTCATCAACTTAATTGCTAGTTCATTCATTCACCCTGATTTTTCTGCACCAAATTTAAAATTTTATTGTTCTCTAAGTTCTCTTGGGAGGGTTGTCTTCTCAATTTTACTCACTGATGCCAAGAATAATAGCATTCCAAGTGCAGTATCCCCCTGTGGGTATAATCATTTATATATGAGATTTGGAACATGTCATCATTTAAATAAGGTCTAGAACTCAGGTAATTATCTGATCTATAAAGTCTATTGCATTTGACCTTGCATGGTGGCTCTCTGTCCTGCCTGCCTTGAAGCTTTTGCCACCTTATTAGTTGTTGCCTTTAGAAATCCAATCAGTGCTTGATCTCTCTTTTGTTTTGCTCTAACAAATATTACCACTTACCATATCTGCTGCTTGACAGGTGAGGATAGATGGTCAAGATATACGGAAGGTGACACTTGGAAGCCTTAGGAAGCATATTGGTGTTGTTCCACAAGATACAGTAAGGGCCTGTTTGTTAGCAGCTTAATGAGCTTATGGGACTCACATCTTATTCTGTCAGCTATACATGACTGTTTGTAGTGGCTAAATGATATAGAAAATGACTTATTCAGTAAGCTTCTGGATGGGAGCTTTATGTAGAATCCAAGTTTTTTCCAAACCTGTCCCTCCCAATTAAAAAACACGTTTCTTTCATCTATGAAAAAACCCTTCTAAACAAAACCTTCCCAATGTATACAGACAGATTAACATATACAGACAACTTTATCCATACACGACTTAATGAAAAACCAACCAAACAGTCCCGAAGTTGGATAAAATTTCAGCTCTGTGATGTGATATATCTTCACTCACATATTATGCATTTTACGTTTCCTTTTAAGTTGGCATGGGCATTGATTCTTGCAAAACTGTGCTTTATGAACAGGTATTATTCAACAATACAATATTCCACAACATTCAGTATGGTTGTCTTTCATCTACCCCTGAGGAGGTTTATTCCTTTGCAATCTGCTATTTGTAGAATATCATGCACTTCTTTTTCGCTAACCAATAGGGTTTTGTAAGGTATATGATGCTGCCCGAAAAGCATCAATTCATGAAACTATCATGAACTTCCCAGAACAATATTCCACTCTTGTTGGCGAACGAGGCCTTAAGGTAAGTGCTTTAGACGGTTTAATTTCTTTGGTTATTTCACAATTGTGCCTTGTAGACGTTAGGTTGATTTCAGTTTGCATGTTCTACCTTGTTTTAGAGTCATCTGAAATGTGCTTGTTAGTCAAACACACGTAAAAGTACCTTTGCAAGTGTGATATATTCCACAAAGAACGGGTTTATGAACTTTGTTCATAATCTTTACGTTTGACCGACGGTATGCACTTTAGAGGGGGTAAGATGTAGCAGACCTAGCATCTATCTTAAAGAGTAGAGTTGTTGTTTTTGTGAAGACCCCTGGCTTGTGAAAAAAGTTTGCAAAAACATTTTGGTGGAAAAACCAAGTGCTCCATAAAGTCAATTGTCTTAAGAAATTGAAAAGTAGGAAGGAAATTGAGACCAAAAGGTAGATTACAATGAACTTTTGAAAAGAAGAAATAAGACTAGAAAACAGGAAAACAGTAAAAGAGGTTACACAAGTATAGAATGTATATGCACATATAAGAAAAATACTACAAACTAAACATACCTCTATCTATCTTAATGCTCTGAAAACCTATCTATCGGTTCTCTAGCCCTCCCCCCGTCTCCCCTCCTCCCGGCCACATTATCTACAGTTCCCTACACATGGTCCTTGGAAATGTCTAAGGCCGCCCTGTCCAACCTCAACTGCTCATCCCACATCCTCCTCGTTAAATATTATGCTAAAACGATGTGTCGAGTCAAACGTTGCAATCTTCATGAGAAAGATGGATTAGTAATTTAATGGCAGATCATGAATCTGTGAGAACGAAGATTGGTATTGGATGTTTTTCTGGCACTTTGATTTCAACATTCTGTCGTTGAATTGCAGAATATCTTATAGTACCAATCAAAAATTCGCTTTCTTTCCCCTTAGTTACTTAACTAAAGATTGTGACAAACTTCTGTTTTTCATGAAGTCAATTGGCAGTGCAGAGTGAAGTTTAAATCTTGTTCTACTTCCCGATCGTTTTCATTCTCCTTATCTTGCAGTTCATTCTATTTGTGGAAGTTAATTGGCCTTACACAAGTTAAACTTCAATTTTCTGGTTCTTTTACTCTTGCAGCTTAGCGGTGGTGAGAAACAACGAGTCTCATTAGCTCGTGCATTCCTGAAAGCACCTCCCATTTTGTAAGTGTCGTGTTATCTCGTGCATTCATATATATGCTAATGACTAAATTCTTGCACCAATCTCTGTTTGTTAAACGGACGCTGTACAATTACATACATTCACCAACATGACGCTAATCTGCGACATTACATACCCCCTCGCAAAAATTAAAATATGCAAAGGGAAATACTACAAATAGGTCCATGAGGACTTGACCTTATTGTACCAAGGTCTGCCTATATCCCCCCCCCCCTCCCGGGGGCGTGACCCTACATCTCCATGGTTTACAGAGTTTGCTTGGTTTGGTTTTATAAGAAGAGGACCAAGGAACAAATAGAGCTCTATAATCCAACAATATAAATACTTCCCCCTCTACCCCAAAGGATATAGTTTATGGGTGGGATGTATGCAAACCTGTCCTCTTATCCAGACTGTAAAGTGGTTATTTACGTAAATACCCCTTGGCTTGTGAAAATGTAAGACTAGTAAATAGTAAGGTAACAGAAAAAAGAAAAAGGGGAAGTTTAGATGATGATGGATGATGTTGAGTTTTATTTCAGGTTGTGTGATGAAGCAACAAGCGCTCTAGATAGCACAACAGAAGCAGAGATACTAAGCGCATTGAGGTCCCTCGCCAATAACAGAACAGCAATCTTTATCGCTCATAGACTTACAACTGCGATGCAGTGTGACGAGGCAAGCTCGCATTCTCAAATTCTTTCTTGTTTATTTGAATTTCACGCAATGCTCCTCCCAACACAACCCACTTAATTCCATCAGTAATTTCAGAACTTTTATTTTGGTACCTAAGATGTAAAGTTTTAAACGCTAAGTACCGGATAACTGGTTGAAGCATTAACCGGTTATCATGTTGATGTGGCGAATGATGTGGTATCCGGTTAATGCTTCAGCAAACAATACTAAGTTGATACCACATCACTCTCTACATCAGCATGGTAACCGGTTCATGTTTCAACCGGTTACCCGGGTATTTAAATGTTTAAAACTTTACWTCTTAGATACCAAAATGGAAGTTTTGAAAGTATGTTACCCAAAATAGGAACCAAGTTAAAGTACGTTACTTACGTTACTTTTTCATGCAATTTGCTCAAATGAAATAATAAAAGTTAAAATTATTACAAAAAAAAATACATTCATCTTTGTTTTGAAGAATTTAATATAAATTATGTTATTAAATATTTAATAGTTTTAGTATTCAAAAAAATAAAAATTCAAACAACCTTTATAAAAATGATAATCCCTTCGATTTCATTGGTTGGAAAAATAAAATAATATTTCGCTCTCTTCAACGTTTATTTTTTAAGAATTCTCCAAATTTGGAAAATTTTACCCTCTTTTCTACTTTCTCCATTTTGGAAAGAAATTTGGAAATCTGTCGAAACAAAAAATCAGTTAAACTCAAAAAATTTCATTTTAGAGAATCTGTCGAAAATACTCTTATAACCGACATTCCGTTGATTATATATTTCTTTTAATGATTTGTATCAGGTCATCGTTCTCGAGAGTGGAAGGGTGGTAGAACAAGGTCCTCATGAGGTTCTCTTATCGAATGCTGGTCGATACGCTCAACTCTGGTCGCAACAAAATAAAACCATCGATTGACTTGCTTAAAAGACACGACAAATTAGATGGTTCGACTCCCTTTTTCCATCGTATTATAGCCATTGATTGTTTCAACCAAAATAACGCAACCACGACGAACCCACAAAATTAGAAGGTCATGAGCCTCTTTTTCCAACTTATTATGCCCATTGGTAGTGTCTACAACAATAAGGTCTATAAGGCCATTCCTTTGCCACATTCAATTCAAGCCCACATTGCCATTTGATGGTTTGGGAAATAAGTGATTTATGTTGCCCCAAAATGATTTGGGTGCAAATACATGTATGTATTTGATGTAATTAAGGAAACATAACTTTGTGGAAAGATTGAAAGCGTTGTTTATTTATCTCTTAATAGTTCCATTAAGAGGTAGTCTTTGAATCATTAAGAGGTGCATCTTGTTTGACAAAAAAAAGTCTACTTTTTAACAGTTCTGAAACCCTCTGAATGATTTTGTATCATGGACCTTACTTGACCATTCAATGTCCTAACTCCATTGTAAACAATTACCGAACAATTATATTTCATTTTCATTATATCATGAGAACCTCTTAATAATTCTGATCACTTAATCATTCTGCATCAAATCATTTAGTAATTGTCAAAAACCCTGCAGTGAATTATTTGTTTGATCTTTGTGATTCACACTTTTTTATTGCATGAGGTACCAAAACCAAAACAAAAATGGATTTGGGACTTATTTTGGTTGATTTAAGTTTTTTAGGGTTTGATTTAGATAGATATTTAAGAGGTTGTTTGCTTATCTCTTAATAGTTCCATTAAGTGGTGAATCTTGTTTGGTAAAAAAAAAATCCGTCTCATAATGGTTTCAAAACCCTCTGTATAATTTTGTATCATGAGTCTTCCTTAACCATTCAGCGCCTTAATTTCATTGTAAACAATTATCAAACAATTACATATCATTTTACATTGTATCATGAAAGTTCTTTAATCATTCGGCACCAAACCATTCAACAACTGTCAAACAACTCCTTAGGATTTGATTTTAAGTTTGAAGTTTATATTTTGCTTTAGGGTTCTTGTTTGTTAATTTTTTTTGAAAATTAATTGCTTTTTTTGTTTTTATGGTATTCTGAATTTTGTTTCTTGATCTTGTATTTGGTTCAAATGCTTTCGCTTTACAATATTCGACTTCTGTTCATGTGATGGCGGGTGGTGGTCTGTTTTTGGTGGCGATGGACGGTGGTCCGATGTGGGGAGGCAGTCGATGATAGGTTTTCATGTCGGTGATGAGGTTTCGTGGTAATTTGTATTTTGATCCCTGTAATTTACATATTTATTATTTTTTAAAGAAAAATGAAATAAAGTATAAAAGGATGAAAATCCCCCTGCCTTAACGGGTTTTTTTTAGCAATCATGTATGAGTATTTACAAATTCATGAATATTTTTTGAAAAACTGTAACATTATTAGATAGAGGGACCAATCTTGTCTTTTTTTCAAATACAATGGTCTTCTTGTAATTTTAGAAGTGTAGGGACGAAAAGTGTCATAACCAACAAATCACAGAAACCAAATTCGTAGTTTACTCATATTATTATATTATTATAAATATAATAATTATTATCATATAATCGGGTTCAAACGAGTCTGGTACTTAAATAAAAAACAAAAGAATAAATATGAAGTGTACAAATTATTAAATAATATCTTAAATAAAAAATTCAAAAATGAACAAATAAGGAAATAGAAGTCATTTAATTATGTAAGAGTTTTTTTTAAAGTATATAATATTTATATACGGCAAATAAACTCAAACACTTTCACTTTTGATGAGGTTTGAACTTTTGACCTCCTAGAAGGCCAAAGACTCACATATCATTAGGACAAAGACCCTTTGGTTAATTATATAAAAGTTATTTAAAGCATTTATTTAAAATTCGTCTTCTACCATTTTTATGATTTAAATGTGATTTATATTTTTATTGAAAAGCTTTAATTTTTCATTTAATAAAGCATTCTTTAAAAATTACAATCAAAATCATATGAGATTCACAATGAAATTCTAAAAAAACAATCCTATTCACATGTGATTTAAAGTGTGAAAAACAATGATTCAAATCAAACACTGATAAAAATGTTTAAAACATAATCATATGTGATGTTTAAGAGAACACATTTAACATATATACTATCACATATGATCTAAAACTTATTTCATAACTTACAAATATCACATGTGATGTTGATAACTTACGTTTCCTTTTCAATTAAATTTACTATGATCGATATCACATCTAATATTATGACGAAAATTAGTGGTTCTTTTTGTTGGAAAATAGGTCATTTAATTGTCGACATCACGTGTGAATTTTGGTGAAAAATGTAAAAATAATCTTAAATATATTATTTCAATAAAAATAAATATTTTAAATAAAAAATTAAATCATATATTAATTTTAAATAATCATGCTTAAATCATGAAATTTATAAAAAAAAATTCTTAAATGAAAACCTTATATAAATGCATTAAATAATTCTTATAAAAATAAATGAATTTTCCATATATAATTAATATATAACAAATGACTGATATGCTTTTTTAGGGAAATTTATAAAAATAACCGTTTTACACAACCCTTTGCCACAAAATAACCACATTTTAGAGGTTTTGCCAAAATAACCACCCGGATCGCCCCCGGGGGCGATCCGTACATAATGGGGGCGATCCCATATAAAAAAGTAAAAAAAAAAAATTCTCAAAAGTCGAGATTACTGTTCACCTCGTTGACCGTGTTTGACCTCGCCCCGGGGCGATCCGTGAATAGTACGGATCGCCCCCGGGCGAGGTCAAACACGGTCAACGAGGTGAACAGTAATATCGACTTTTGAGAATTTTTTTTACTTTTTTATATGGGATCGCCCCCATTATGTACGAATCGCCCCCGGGGGCGATCCGGGTGGTTATTTTGGCAAAACCTCTAAAATGTGGTTATTTTGTGGCAAATGGTTGTGTAAAACGGCTATTTTTATAAATTTCCCGCTCTTTTATGAGATTTTTAATAAAAGTTTTATTTAATTTAATATTTAAAAAATGGTTAATTGAGATTCATCCTCTTATTTTTCTTGAGTAAATTACACTTTTGGTCCCTTTATTTGTAATCAATTTTTGTCCCTCTTTTGAACTAATTACATTTTTGATTATTGATTGACATTTTGTTTCACTTTTTGTCCCTTAGACCAACTTTTGCAAAATTGATCCGTTAACTTTAAAGGGTATTTTCGTCTTTTTATTTATTTAATAATAATCACCACTCATCTTCTATTAAGGGGGTGTTTGAGATTGCTTATTTGAAACAACTTATGTTTTTCTACAAAAACACTTGCCAACTTATTATAAGTAGTTAGAAGAGTTTAACTTCTTAAAAAACCTCTTATCGGTTTGGTACCGATATAAGTTGTTTATCCAAACACTTAAAAGTACTTATTACCGACATCACACCACTTAATTACCTTGGTTAGGGTTGAATACAAGTCAGGGTTTCACTTCGCCCCAACGGCCATGAGTGTCACTTTGTTGAAAGCAACAACCTCAAAAACCATCGTCACTCTGCTAAAAGCTCCGGCTACAAACCTCCTTGTTTGTTGAAAGCTTCGACGACAGAAACCTCCAACCGTCGTCACCCTACTGGGCTTGTTTTTGAATTTATCGTCAACCACCGTCACCCCTATTGGGTATGTTTTAGAAACTTCCTGTGTAAATCATCCCTGTGATTCGTCCAGATCGATGCTTCTTGTAGGTTTGTTCATTTATTTTGCAATTAGGTTTTGATTTTGGATTTGGGTGCTTTTGGAATTTGGGGAATTTGCCAAGATCCATAAAATAGATGGGAGGGGTGAAGCTATCATCGTAAATGAGCAACAGTCTGAATAACATAAATGATCAATTTATCTGAACCAACAGTCTGAATAACATAAATGACCAATTTACCCTCTAATATTAATTATTTGAACATCAAAACAAAAAAAATCATAAAGAGGCTAAAGATGGGGTGTCTCATATGGGAAGGAGGCAGTGCTTTAAAGAAGGGGTAAGCGTGTCATTTTTGTGGTTGAATGGGGACAACACACCATTTCTATATGTGCGATTAAGCCATGCTCTGCACGAATAAGCCGTAAGTAAACAAACCAAATGAGTTGTGCGAATAAGCCAGATAGACCAATAAATCTACTTAAGCCGCAAGTAAACAACCCCTAGAATTTAAAATATAAATTAATATATATTTGTTTACAATGTGTTTAGTTCACATGAATTTATTTCACAATACAAACCTTTTTTTTTAATATTCTTGTGAAACAAAAGTTACATGTAAAAAAGTTTTACATTGTGAACCACATGCATATAAAACAAACACATTGTGAAACAAATATATATTAAAGAGTGAATTGTAGATTTGGTCCATTTGTTTTGATATTTTCTTACTACGGTTCTTATATTATGTTTATTGTGGATTTGTTCCTTGTGGTATTCAATTTGTTTAAAACATGGTCCTTCGGACTAATGTCTCCGTTAATTCTATTAAATCAAATGTCCTTTTAGCTTTTTAGGGTTGGGTTCACGTGAGACCAAAGGTTTTTCGTGAGACCAGTAAGACCAATATATGTTCATTGATCAACTTTATAAGCTAATGGTCTAAAGTTGCACGGTGACAATTTTGTAATTATTGAGAAGTCTCGTGGCAATTTTGTGATTATGAATGATCAAATTGTAGATCTAATCCAAGGGTTGAGAATTGGTCTTACGGGTCTCATGAAAAACCATTGGTCTCAAATGATCCCAAATCTCTCTCTCTCTCTCTCTCTCTCTCTCTATATATATATATAAAAGGATATCAAAATAAATAAATAAGATATTACTTTATAATTTGATTTTTTTAAATTAAAAAATTAATCATATTAAATACGATTTAATTTTATTGCTTTGGCATTTTTGCTTATTTAGGTATGAAAACCTGGTAATTTATATATGGATTTGTTCAATTTTAAGTTACAAAGATGAGAATATGAACCTTTCATTTGATTAAAATCTAAATATAGAATTTTGATTTTTTGAATTAACAATAATATGAAAACTGGATGATTTTGATGTTAAATTATCTAGAATCAGTTGTTTATTGCGATGTTAGAAAAATAACAATAAAGTTAAATTGTCTTTAACATAATTATCTTTTAATTGAAACAAATCAAATCATAAAACCATATCTTATTTTATTCGCTCAAAATAAAATATGATATGGTTTTATGATTTGACCATATTTTTTTTTCACCATTACAATAAAACAATAAATGTAAGACCCGAGTCTTAAAAATATTATCGTTAGCTTACCCAAA